ACTGTATTTATTGTGCTAATTCTAAAAAAAAAAAACCTTTTAGAAAGGAAATTGGAGAGTGCGGACTTCATTTTAAATTTAGATTTTGATGGGAAAGTTGCAGTCTTTGCTCCTATGGCAGGCCTAATCTGGATTACATTCCCAAGACTATACTTTCCTTTTTCAAAGCCAATTATGCAATTACACAGCATCACCTGACCAGGCTTTTGGGGAACTTGGACAGGCCTGATTAGGATGTAAATATTAAGAGAATTAAAAGACTTCCAGAGGATTCCAGGTCTGTAAGATAAGGTTAAAAAAACCTTGCATAATAGCCAGCCACTGTATCGCTGCTAAGAAAGCTACATGGTCTGGAGTAAAATTTGATTTGAAGGTTTTATCTTTTTTTAATGATATGAATGATGTTTTATCTGGCTTAAGCTATTTACTGAACTGGTGAGCTAGAAACAAGGGAAAGTTTGCAGCATTACTTTATCCTAGTTCCACTGTTTAAAAAAAAAGACTAAAAATGAATTAAATTGTGATTTCTTACTTTTAGGCATAATTCACATATGTCCAAACATCAGATAAACCAAAGACCTTCAAGTATGGTCAGTGAAACATCTACTGCAGTAACTACATCCACTACAGATATAAAACTTGGATCCAAGGTAAATTTGAGTTTTTAATTAAATTTGAAAAATGAAGCATATTAAGAGAATGAACTGTATTGGGGGACATTGTGCCAATATTAAATCCATAGAAGAAATTCATGGATGCGTTTAGATTTGAATTAGACATATCCCTCTTACCTATTTTCTGTGTTCTTAAAGATGTGTAGGGGGTTGATCCTAAGTGTGCATTGCTGTTGTGCTCTTGTGCTAAGCATTTGTTTAACATATAGTTTGGTGCTTGGACTTACAGTTTATTTGCTGAACATTGTAATTGTATGAAAAAAATCTAAATCATTAGTCTTAAAGGCATCTCTTATGTGGTGGGAAGCTTGATGTAAACACTTCTAGGAAAACACTGTTTTATACCCCAGAGAGTAAATATTTTAATGAAAATGGTTAATACAAAAATAAGAATAACTTACCTATTATGCAACACAAACAGATACAGAAAAATAGCAAACTGAATATTTTTATATTTTATTCTTACAAACCCAGCTATAAATCCCAAAATAACTTGAAAATGTTCCCAAGAAAATTCTACTATAGCATCAAATAGCCAATTATGGCACTTTTGTATTTAGCTTGTTCTTTTTCATTGATGAACGAAAGTTTATATCAGGACTTTTGTCAAGGGTAGGAGATCAGGAGAAAAGGCAGTTCAAATCAATACAGATTTATTGAATGTTAAGACTCCCTGCACTGATTTGAACTACTAAAGATCAAAGCAAATTGGCGGTAAATAAAAATCAACAAATTCAAAGTAACTTGGACTTAGATCTTTTCTGGTACAAAGGGATTTGAGACTGATCACATGCTTGATCCCTCCCTCAAGCTCAGTCTGGTCATCTACAGCTTTTGTGTCCAAAAGTGTATTTGTTCTGATCTTACTGAAGCATTATTCTGTAGGTTCACATGAATATTAAAACAGAAAACTAGCAGAGATCTAAGTATAAATACATAAATATGTGCAGATTCACTTAACCGTATTACTACCGTAACTTAATAACTGCAGTGATGTTGTTGACACACAACTATGTCAAGAAAGGTCGTAAAATGGGGCAAAATTCCTTTAGCTGTCTTGCTTAGGAATGGAAAATTTGGGATGAATTGAAATTGTAAGTCAAGGACTACCTGTACAGCAGTTTTCTCTTTACTACCTCCCAGTTTGCAGAGATCAAGCAATAGGGTTTGAAGGACTGAAAAGTTGTGAATTTGTAATTCAATAGTTCATTATTATGATGTTGTCAAATGTTTGCTTCTGCTGATTATTTTGTTAATAGTTAGTCAACTACTAGTGTAAATTACACAATCAATAGCAGAATATAAATTCTTGTATTATTCTGTTTCTTTGGAGTTAATCCTAAATATAGTTTGTACTTGCTTATCTTATATATGCTTTTTTTTTTAGTTAGTAAAATCTAGCAATAAGGTTCATAGCTTTGGGAAAAGGGATCAAGCTATAAGGAGAAACCCTAATATTCCTGTTGTGGTCAGAGGCTGGCTTCACAAACAAGTGAGTATTATAATTTTTTTTAAAAAAAGTTGCTTTGATTTACAAAGAACAGGGGATAAAAGAAGAAATGAACTAACCAAGAAAAGATAAAAAAGGAAATGAGAAAAGTGTCTTATAATAACTATGAGGAAAATCATTCAACCCATTTTTAAACACATCATTAAACTTTAATCACACCGAATCTTTCTGATCAATCTTTCTATTACACCAGTAGAGTCAGTTCACACACATCATCAATCCAAAACTGTAAATCTGGGATCATGCTGAAGGGTACCCTTTTTTTTATTACACCCCATGTTGGTAAACCCAAAATTCTTCATAGTAATAAATTCCACTTTGGGGATATACTGTATAATTAAGAAGTATATTCCTGCTGTTAAACCATGCTGATATTCATAATGATAGATTAACAAATTTACGGGTATGAAATTACAGTAGAACAAAAATAGGACAAAGCATATCATATGGGGGTCTTCTCCATGTCTACTACATGTGCATTAATCATTTCTAACAAGATACCTGCTCTTCCACTATGCTAACTTCTTTATGCTAATTTCTAACTTTCCCTACCTTCTAGAAGAGCTGTAAAACATTCAGAAGTAGGCTTGATTATGATATGCTATGATAGCTGGCTCTTTTTTAGCACATTTTCATACATTAAAGAGACACATAGTCATTCCAAATTTTATTTAGTATATTTTTGTGTTATTTTATTCTAAGTTTTTACCAGATACATATTGTCATTTGTGTTTCAGGATAGCTCTGGGATGAGATTATGGAAAAGAAGGTGGTTTGTGCTGGCAGATTACTGTTTATTTTATTACAAAGGTTAGTGAATATAAATCTTTGTTTAAAAATATTTCTGCAACTGAGAACTAACTGCATATTGCATCTGTTGCTTAAAATAAAAATAATAATTATCTCTGGACAATATAGAAATCAGCTTTTTATTTCCCACTTACCATATTTACCATATATGAATAGGAAGCTTTCCCCCCAATTTTTACCAGTTAATTTAGAATGCTATGCTGCATTCCTTAAGAATAAAAGACAGCTATTAAAAATAGTAGAGATGCAAATGAGTACAGCTATTATTAAAGTAAGCCTGAAGAATGGCTTGAGAAGAATTCCTTATCTAACGGATTTAACTTTTTGTAAAGTACAAACAGGGCTTCTTTCCTTAGTTTTTCCTTCCCTGCTCAGCCCCTTCTCCTTTTCCTCATCCATTGCTTAATCCACATCCATTTTTCCCTCTTTATTCTTCCTGCAGAAACAACAGAAATTAGGTGCATTATTTTATTATTCTTTTGTGAGAGTGGTTTGAAAGAGAAAGGTTAGTATATTCAGATGTGGATTCATTAATGTACAACATATTTTTCAGGCAATTCATTTTAATTAGTTATTAATTTATTTAATACTGGTTTTATTCTAGCCTTTCCCTTTTTTCTACTGGGATTTTTAACAATTATAGATACATGCTTGCTTATGTGCATGGATGTATACTGGTGTGTCATATACTCACATTTGTTGGCAGAAGGAATCTCCAAGTTGGCTTCTGGTTGGCAAACCTGGGTTGACCAAATGGGCACAAGATTTTGCACAAGCAACACACAAGATATCCTTACATTTTCCCCCCCATCTACTCCTTTTGGAATTTAGGTTTACCTTTTGTTTGGCTGAATATGATATTTGAGGGAAGGTTATCTTTAATGGCTGTTGCATTTTATAAGCATGCATTTCTGATATTGCACTGACAGATCAATTGTTGTATATACTCCTCATATAGAGAAAGTAAGAATTACTGTTTATTTATTCAGGCATCGCATACATCTTCACTAGCACTCTTTTTCTTTTGAATACTTTTAACCTTGTGAACAATGTTGCATGGTCCAAGTGAAGAATGCATAATTAGAGCAAACTGAAACGTACAAAGGCCTTGATCTTCTTATTTAAATGTGAAGTGGACACTTAATGCATCCGTTTGTGTTTTTCATACATACTTCATTTCTCTCATATGTCAGCTCTACAATTATTGACATGATCAGGGAATTTGAATTGGTATGAAATTTAGTAGAGGAGGAGAGACAATTCCAAGCTGAAAAATTACTATTCCATTCTCTGGTTTAAGCTTTGCAGGATGAACTGAACACTGTTGGAAACAGGACACTGAATTATATTTTTTGATATTGTTGGGAAGTGATTTACATCGAATTATATACTACAATGTATTTGCAGAATATTTAGCAATGTGGGCAGAAATTGGAATCTTCTTTATAGAAGGTTATATAATATTTTTTTCTAGCTCTCAATTCACTATTTTTTATTAGAAATGCAAAAGATTGAACCTAGGGCCTTCTGCATGCATACATGTGTTTCCCCACTATATTGTAACCACTCTTTAGTTTTTATAATACTCATTGTCTCAACTGGAAGATAGCATTTGGGTCTACTGAACATTTAGTACCTCCTGTTCTATTGATCATCTGTTGAAACGATCATGTGTATGTATTTTTACTCAGTCACCTCAAATCAACCAGATAAGTCCTTCACTTACTATAGTTAAGTTTTTGGACCAAGCAGTTAGTTTTGCTGTAAGTATATTGTGTTTTAATTTTTTAAAAATTGAAACTTGATTATTTCTTTCATTTAAAAGACAGCAGAGAAGAATCTATTCTTGGAAGTATACCATTACC